GGGGGGTTGTTATATGATAAATGTTTTTATTTTCCCCCGACCCTTCCATTTTTCCCCTCCCCATTGATTATCTTCTGCCCCCTTGCTCCAGATACCGCAATCCGTTGTCTGGAGGAAACAAACACTTCCGGTGTTTGGGAACACACCTATTACATCGGCGGGACAATAGTCCCAGACCACGCCCACCCCGTATTCACTATATAAGGGCCCCTTCCATCGATTGGGATCGGATCGTTCGTCCAACTCACCTTACATTTATCGTCGCGAACCGGGCTCTTACAATTGCTCTTGGACTTCGACTAAATGCATCAATGGGTCCCCAATCAAACTTGGCGTCAGTATCCCGCGCTTCTTAACTTTATTCAGCTGTTATGGTCCAAATACTTCACTTGATATTTGTTAGTGTGCAAGCCATGCTAACTGCTGACTGTGTGTGTGTGTACTGCCCCGCTTCTCTCTTTTTTTTTCCATTTTGTAGTTAAATCGCACTTCAAATAATATAACTTCCTATAACACTTTGAATTGCAAGCTCCACTGCACCACGCCAAGGTCAAGACCTCACTAGGCATGTCCTAAGCAAAGTCAAGAGCAAGTACAGGAGGGCGGGTCAGCAGGCTGCTAGACGAGAGAGGTGCTGTGAAATCCGAGAAATCATGGCAGTAACGATACGAAATTTGCAGGAATAATGTGGACAATAATCATGCGTCAAAAAATAACGGTAGCAACATGAGTGAGGCGAAATTGGCGAAGTCAGAAGGCGCTGATACGGACCTGTACGATGCAGCAATTGAACCGTCCGGGAAGAGCGAATCAGCGCAGAAGTCGGGCACAACACAAGGCAACAACGCTCAAAACAAAGTGCTTCCATCCCTGGGAACGGGTCAAAATAGCCCAGGGCGAAGATACTGCTGTTATGTTGGTAAGTTTGAGTTTTTGGGAAACTTTGCCCCTTGCCTCATTTGTAGCAGCTCAAAAACCCCACTGCCTTTGAATTTTTTTGGATCTCCTACTGTTACATGTATATTTTTGTTCCTTCGATCTGGTGCAAACAGTAGCCTAGTTCTTCAACTTTTCCCTTTTCCTTAACC